CCTGCTCCCGGGTCCTGCTTGGTGCCACCAGTTGCACCTCTGCTGAATCCCAAAAGAATGGATGGATTCTGATGCCATTTAATTTTAACTCGCCTGGCTGCTCGTTGCCTTCTGCAGCAGGCTGGGGCATTGTACGCCCAGCCCCCCTCTGCCAGGGAGGGGTTGAGGACCACGTCCGTGGCCTTACACTATTCTGGCTGCCTCGGTTTTGGCTTGCCAACTGGCAGCTCTTTGCTCAGACCCACTGTAGGGCTTTTTATGCGGTTTCTCATCCTGTCTCTCCTCCCATCTCCAGGCCAAATCGTTTGCTGATCCTCCATGGCTTTTTGGATGAAAATGTGCACTTTTTTCACACCAACTTCCTGGTATCACAGCTAATCCGGGCTGGAAAACCTTACCAGCTGCAGGTAGGAGGAGCAAGAGTGAAGTGGGAAGGTCCCTTAAGTCTGGAAAGAGACACAGTTTTCTGCTGTATGTTCTGGGGGCGGGAGAAGGTGGAGGCAGATGCTCCCGCATCTTGTTGCCATGTAGATGACAATAAATGCCTGGTTTGACTCCAGGAGGTGGCCGGGAGATGGCACTGTGGCTGTTTCATTGCTGGCAGATGTGGCGGGTATCTAAAAGCATTTGCAAACAAGGCTCCTGCCCTCAGGCCTGGAACTTTCTTTCTCTGCTGAACTGTTGCTGTCTCCCTTGGCTGATGGCAGCAGAGGCCAGCGGACAGCAGCACTCGCCAGCGCTGTGAGGGAGCAGGGCTGGTGCTTTAGACCTTTCCTGGCACCGGTTTGTCCCAATGGAGACTGGGTTGAGGGAAAAGGGCTGACGTGAGGGAGGCTTGTCGATGCAGAATGAGCTGCTCCTGGCTAACTGCCCCGTCTCTCTGCTTCTGCACAGATCTACCCCAACGAGAGACACAGTATTCGGTGCCCTGAGTCAGGAGAGCACTATGAAATCACGCTGCTGCACTTTCTACAAGAATACCTCTGAGAGCACAAGCCTCTGCAAACTGGACACTGACAGCTCACCTTCCCCCTCCTGTGCCCTGCCATTACTGCCTCCCTCGACAGCCGTCTAACCCAGAGCACAAAATGGCTGAGTGCCTGTGGCCGGGCTGGGTGTCCCCCGCCCCGAGTGAGGGGGGAGGGTGGAGGGCACCTTCCCTTTGGACAGTGCCACCTTCTTTCACTTTCCAAGCTGGAGGTCTGCCCCTGCTCGGCTGCTCGTCCTGTTCCTCTCCTCCGGCCTGGCTGTTAATGCTTTTTTTGCTGCTACTCCCTCTATCCTGGGAATCAGTGGACAGTGGTCTGTCTCCCGAGGCTGAGGTTTGTGTCCATCTCTCCCCCATCCTTTTCCCCTTCCACTGCACTTCTGCAGTTCCCATACTCTTACCTGCAAGAACTCAGTGCCTGTGTTGGAAACGGAAGAGCCGAATCAGCAAGCTGCCTTAAGCCAGGAGCGGGAGGGAAGAGAGAACTGCCTATTGTTAAGCCCCAGAGGAGCTGATCTGCTGCTGCTGCTGCTGTGTCCTGGCCGTGCTGCGACAATGTCGAGCCCTGGGATGTGAAGAGAGCTCTACAGAAGCATGCAACACTAGTCTTTTCTATTTTTCAGTTTAATTTTGCAGAGCAGATGGAGGAAGTGGCT